GCACTGGGAGAAGTCTAGACGCGAGACCAGACCGGAGAGTGCGTCCAAATCCTAAATCAGCACAAATTATAAGTTGGAAATAGCCGGTGAATGCGCTGTTGTGAGCTGACTAATGCTACTCCCAGGCTTAGGGTCCAGACTGGAATGAATGGAGAAGGATCCCATTGTGTTTGTGTTGCAAAAGAGGTGTTTTTGAGGTGGCGGATGAGTCGCTGGTGGGATAGCCTTGGAGCTGTTCGGGATTTGTGATGCATTCTGGGAGGATTATGTGCAATAGGTGATTTTGGTCCTGTTGTTTTACATGAGTGGATGTGATTTGGGGAGTCTGCAAAGGATAGGTTTGGTTTAGCTAGCATATAAGTGAATCATATCATTGCATTTTTATATAGTAGTAATTTTAATAAATGTTATGTATATTTTGTACTTCCTGTTTTATGCATGCCTTATTCTATTTTAACTTTTATACCTTGTTTGCACCGAGAGCTAAAGCAGTTTCCTTGTTTCCTGTCACTCACAATGGCAATAAAAATAATTTACTTTAGTTTACTTTGTCATGTCATGTTTTAGAATTTGAAATATAATATTAAGTAGAACACAAATGGTGAAAGATTTATGATGCATAAAAAGAAAAGATTTGTCCACCTGTAACTCCTTATCAAAATAAGTTTAACAGCCCCTATAACTTGTTATTGTTTTCATTTCCACCGTTTCACCAATCAGAAAGTCTGATCCGGGCGCCAGAACTCACCGCGTCGAGCTAATCTTTTGTGGAGCGCCTTTCCTACACAAGGCAACGCAAAGCGCCTCACAACACATATAACATCATGCATAAATCATCAAACATTAGAATTTAAGTAAACATAAAAAGACAGATTAAGAGCACAAGATATATTAAAAACCATAAAACATTAAAATCACACATGGGATTAAAATCATAAATAGTCATAGCGCATTAAAAAGATTAAAGATAAAAACAAATGTGAAATCATTCACTTGTATGCACAGCTAAAAAGAGCTGTTTTCAGCCCAATTTTAAAAACTGCCAGAGTACCATGTGGCGCAGAACTAAAAAAGGTCTCGTTATGATTCTCAAATCATTAACGACAAAACAAGGAATAAAAGCAGGATTTCTATCTTTGTGAAAAAGGTGTTGGTTATAGATTTGTTGTTGACAAAACTCTTGTCTATTCAGCTGTTATGGTCCCAGCTGGATTCGTCTGCATATCTGGCAACCTGAGTCAGGGAGAGTGGGAGAGGCTGCAGTACCACTTTTGGCCACATGTTTACATACTGCTCCTTTAAATCATGTTGTGTCCAGTTTAAAACGTCGTCTCTCTGCTACATTATAACATGAAAACCTGCGGCTTATATTCAAGTGCGGCCTGTGGACAACATTGACTTTTTAAAGATTCAGATGGTGCGGCTAATAGTCCAGAAAGTACAGTTTATGTCTTCTTGTCAACACAAAGCAACACCACATGACTCCAAACCAGTCTGAGACCAATCAAAAATCTTTTCTATGAACCAAGGCCTCTAATGACTCAATGCTCTAAAAATATCCCTGGTTTTTGGCCATCACTCGCTGCTCACACTTCTCCCTGCGCTTTGGGTGTCATCCAGCAGAGACTGAACTTTCCACACACCACAAAAAAACCTCATTATCAAGACAAACAGACCCCCGCGGACGATAACGCCACCCCATGACGTCTGCTGAGGCCTGGATCCAGCCTGTGTGTGTGTGTGTGTGTGTGTGTGTATGCAGCAGCCTCGGTCCATTGTCCAGCTCACAGGCACAAAGGCAGCATAATCAGATGTAGTTTTCTGGAAATGAGAGCTATAGTCCGACACCCTGGCTCTTGGAAATGACGTGGTGGTGGTGGCGTCATGTGTGATGATGGGCGGGCGTTTGGCAGATTTACTACGAGACGTGAATGTGCGCTATTGTTTGCACGTACTGGGAGAATTGTAAAGAGGCTCTCACTGGGAGTTTGTTGAATCAACGCTGAGGGAGAAGTTTCCAGCTCGATGCGTTCGCTGCAGAGATAATATCATTTGGAGCCTGCACTATTTGTTTTTCACGTTTATCAATTTAGCAGACAGTTATAAGTGCAAGAATGGAAGAGGGTTTGGATGAACAAATGGTTATAGGATTGCAACCAACATCACACATGCCACACAATACACATGCACACACACACACACACACACACACACACACACACACACACACACACACACACACACACACACACACACACACACACACACACACACACACACAATACACTGCTACAGCAAAATCATAGTAAAACCCATAACTGTTTTAAGACACAAGGACAGGGGGATGTTTGTTCAAAATATGCCAGAGGTTTCTCATATTAGCAAGAATTAGTTAAATGCAACTTTTTATGAAAGAACTTTCACACACATGCACACGCATGTACACACATGCACACGCATGTACACACATGCACACACATGTACACACATGTACACACATGCACACGCATGTACACACATGCACACACATGTACACACATGCACACGCATGTACACACATGCACATGCATGTATGCACACTGGTATATGTGCGAAAGCCAAATAAAATATTCATAATGTAGTATTTGTGAGCTGGGGTTAAGCAGTGTGTTATGTAATTTTGCAAAAGGGGTCGATGAGAAGAACGTATATGTGCTTAGTCCTTGTGTGTGGAATTCTGTCGTCCCATTGTCTGTCTCCTGCGTCATGATGGGACCCCTGAATCTGGCCTCTTTCCTCTGCACCAGTGGACTGGTCTCCCCGGGCCTGGACTGTGAGCCCCTTCAGTCCTGCACCACACAGCCTCAGTCCTCGTCATACAGCCTGAATCCTGGATCTACAGCCTCAGTCCTGGATCTACAGCCTCAGTCCTCAGTCCTGGATCTACAGCCTCAGTCCTCAGTCCTGGATCTACAGCCTCAGTCCTCAGTCCTGGATCTACAGCCTGAGTCCTGGATCTACAGCCTCAGTCCTCAGTCCAGATCTACAGCCTCAGTCCTCGTTCTACAGCCTCAGTCCTGGTTCTACAGCCTCAGTCCTCAGTCCTGGATCTACAGCCTCAGTCCTCAGTCCAGATCTACAGTCTGTCCATCTGTGGGAGCGGATCCCTCTCTCAATAGGGGCCCTCACAGTTTTCTCACTTTTCTTCCCACTTTGGGTTTTTTGGGTCAGTCCTTGCCGATGCAGGAGGGTCTAATGGTGCTTTCAGACCGCAAACGCTCAAACGCATTCTCTAGTTTTCAGACGCACGGGACTTCACACCAGAACGTCCTGGCCAGCACCGGAAGTGCCGGAAATAGCGGCACGGTGGCTGAGTGGATAGCACTCTCGCCTCTCAGCAAGAAGGTCTTGAGTTCGAATCCCGGTCGGACCAGGGCCTTTCTGAGTGGAGTTTGCATGTTCTCCCCGTGTCTGCTTAGGTTTTCTCCAGGTACTCTGGTTTCCCCTACCACTAAAAACATGTACAATAGTTCTGGCATGTTCCTCCTGTTCGGCGACCCCGCTCCCATCTCTGTGTGGAGTGAGAGACAAATGCCCAAAAAATAACAATTGTAAACCGCTTTGTGACTCTGGTCTGTGAAAGCACCATAAGGACAGTGATGACCAAGGACACTTTAGCACATTTATGGTCATCCGCGCTCCCTATGAACCAACAGCTCCTATGTGTTTGTTATCCTTGCACTTCCTGTGTTCAACTGTTTGATTCTCTGATCTCTGTTGTTGGTGATTCGACAACTTTGTGAAGTCCTTCGAGACGACTGCTGTTGTCCTTTAGATAAGCGTTAATAAACATCTAC